CCCCGCCCCTCCGCGTCCACCCCTCTGAATTTAAAGTGCGCGCCCGGGATGAAAGGAGTCGGCGTCGCGGCAGCCAAAATTAAAATTGTTTGGCACGGGGGCGGTGGCATTCTGCTGCACCACCGCCGGAGCTGGGGCTGCGTTCGAGAGCGGCGCACCGCGCACTACTGGCAGCTCCGCGGGCCGGGGGCGCGGCGCCCGCCTCGAACGCAGCTCGCCTGAGGCCTCCATCAGGAGGCAGGAGCAGCCCGAGGGGTTCTGAACCGTCGGTCTGATTTGAAAGAACACTGATCCCGCCGCTTAGTGGGGCATGCGAACACCACCCCGCCCGTATCTGCGGGGCGGGGCGGGAGTTGGAATCAGTATTCCTGTGAGGGGCCCGCCTATGGGCCTCCGCCCGGCGGACACACCATCAAGTCCAACGGCGAGGCCGGGGCCGGGGTAGGTAGGTACGCACTGAGCCGCAGGGCGTGGCGCGGCGCGGCCAGGAACGCGAATTAGGCCTACGGGGCGTTCGCAGTGCCAAGCTGTTTAATTGTTATTGCCCGGGAGAGACGGCGGAGGGGCGCCGGGCAAGAACCGTCGTTATTTGGGGTGGAAGTGGCGGCGGCGGTGGCTCCCGGCGCGACGAGCAGCCCGTCTGCTTATCAGGGGCAGCGGAATGTGAACGGCCTCGCCCCGCCGCGCGCCCCGCCCCAGCGCAGCCGGGCGCGGCTCAAACCAGAGCGAAATTGTGTGGTCGCGACGCGACTGGGGTGGGCCCGGTGCCCGCGGGGAACCGTAGCCGCGGGGCGCGGGGGTAAGAAACACGGCCGCCGGGGCCTTATTGTCCGGCCTGCCCGCCGCCGCCCTGCATGGCGTCACGCCGCCACGCGCGACCCGTAAGCACGTGACCAAGCCCGTCGTCAACTATTCCGCATAAAATACCGTTAAACTCGGCCTACACGACGACGCTGGAGCGGGAATAAAATGCCCTCACTATTTTAAGGGAGTGTGATTACGAAAATTCGCCCCTAAGGCGCCATGGCTCCTGCGAACCCCAGTGAGTTTGAGTTAGAAGCGCATTTACGAAACACACACGTTATGCTGTCTATGGAGGAATTAAAGCCTATACAGTAGTACTTTTCCCCTTGATTTGAGGCAAGTTCTATGAATGTCTTTGAAATGAATGAAGTGATATGTCAATAACTTTATTTATTCTTAAGAAAACCACTAAACTCATTCAGAAATACAATTCAAAAGAACACCTACTACAATGGCCGTAGATCAACTTAAAATTTCTAAAATTGCCATGTATCTTACGCCCGATCACCTTCATTACAAATTAGAACGTTGGGTTTATTTTTGCCGCGGTCTCAGCTTCATTCTCATGTGTGATGTTTAGTCAACCAGCCGAGGAATAGTGGTCCATTCACCGGCTTTCCTTACTTTGTTTCCCCACACCTCTCGGTGGCAGCCCTTCTTACACCAGTCGCAAAGCTTACAGAAGTAGGCTAACCGCACTTTTAGCTCCAGCGAAGGGTTCTTGGACAAGACGGTCACCACCAAGTCCGAGTGCAAACAGTGGTGGGCACATCTTGGATCTTTCAGTTCTCCGTGGTACAGCTCCAGGGTCCGCAGGGCCGGGTTCGTCTCGGGCGTGATGGCCAGCAGCACCTCGCGAGATGTCATGCCCACCGTCAGCTTCTTCAAGGCCGGCATCAGTGGCAGGGCCCTGCTTAACGGCAGCATCTGGCGCACTGGCATGTCTGGGTAACAATAGCCATAGCCTTGGACCTCCAACGACTCGACAGAGGACGGTCCGGAGGACACTAGGGCCAGGACCAGGTCGTCGCCGACGACGTCGCCACCACCCTCGACGTAGTACTTCAGGCTGACCGCGCGCAGCTGCTTCGTGCGGTGCAGGAACTCCGCGGCCGCCGGCACGGCAGGTTGCCCTTTAGGCCCCACCAACAGGCACACCTCCCGCAGCGACTCGCAAGCTGCCACGGCCTCCAGTCCCGCGATGAGGGGGCACCCGAGGAGCGAACGGAGGTTCGGCATGCCTGCGAGCAGGGAGGCCAGCTTCGTAGGCGAAGAGAGGGTCGGTGCCACCGTTTGCGAGCCGAATGGGAACAGTTCATAGTAGAAATTTACGGCCTCGATGGTAGGGGCGTGGGCGGCCATCACGAACTCGCAGAACGGGATCAACTCTGGCCTGAGGTGGCTCTGGAACACCTTCACAGACGCGCACGGCGGCTGTGGGCGCAAGTGCGGCGCGGGGCGCACGGCGCCCGCCTCGTCCAGGATGTTGACCGTAAGCGCCTCCAGGCCGGAGGTGTACGCCGCCGTCCACAGAAGTGTGAAGTAAGCGTCACCCTCCTTCCTGTCCGGATGGAACTTGACAGTGAGCTCCCTCAGCCGGCCGAGCGCCTCCTGGTTCCTGATGATCATCGCGGCGTGCAGCAAACGATCACGGGGGGCGTTTCTACCCACATGCAGACTCAGCGATGAGACGGCGCACCTCGTAGCGCTGTAAAGCTGCAGTTCTTTATCGCGGCACGGGAAGTCAATGATCAAAGTTCCCAGACACGGCGCGAAACGCAGCACACGCCCGTAAGAGGACTTGTCGCAGTCTACGGTTTGGCGTCGCCACACGTGCGGGTGCAGCGCCAGCTCACCGATCCTCTTGCACACGAGGCGGCAGGCGAGCAGGTCCGGCACGCCCAGGTAGCTCATCACCTCCAGCAGCACGTCGTCCGGCAGCTCCTCCATGACCTGCAAGGATGCGACAGGTGGTATACAGTAGTGTTTCGGGGAAATAGCGGGGACCAGGACGCTGGGGCAGCCAAAGCGTGCGTCCTACCCTGCGAAACCTACCTCGTATGGAGAGGAGATACTCGGCCTGGACCACGACTTCGCCTGACTATGCTGGGGCGTATACCGCTTGACGTCACGACGGCTATGTCCCAGCCCGAGGGTGGACGCACGACGACGACGACGACGACGACTGAGTCTGGCAGGAGGAGACGCGTCACGCGTGTCTCGCGGCTGGCTCGACGACTGACTGGAACTGAGCTGGTCTGCACTCGAGCTCAGTCGAGCTCGATGCTCTGGGACCGGCGCCGGGATGAGCCGAGCAGCTCGATTGCTGATGGCTGGCCGCTGGCCCTGGCCGGCGGATGTGCCCTGCCTTGCCTCGCGCTGGATTTTCCACGGATGCGGCGTCGGGCGTTGGTCGGACGGCTGGGCCTGCCCCCGGCTAACCCGAGCCGGGGCGGCCGGGGCTCTCCCAGGAGGAGGGCCTGTCCTCTGCCCCTCTCTTCGTTTCGGGGTACTACTGAACATCGGTGTGCCCTTTGCCTGTTTCAGAGATTTATATAGGGGTGGGTCGTTAGAGCCCGGGGGCGCCGACGATTG